TAAGTTTATAAAGTTTCTTAGATAATTAATGTTACTTAATGTTTATCGGACGAGTCTCTTACGTGAAAGACGATATAAAAGGTCCTCATTTCTTTTATCTAGATTTATTGTCATCCTATTAATGAAAGTATTTCTTCTTGTTTGACATGTTATATACTCGTTTTGTGGAAAATCCGTGAAGTTGCTGAAATAGATTAATTGAAACACATCTAGCGTGGAAATAAATATAATGACACGGGTTTTTTAATGTAGTTCGTGTTGTTAAACTTTAAACAAGTTTTCTGTTTACTGTCTTGCGTACTGTTCTTTGACATTTCATCGTTTTTCGTTTGACAATAGCGTTCCTTTACTTGAAGTTTATGATTGTCCACTTGATATTTTTCTGTTACCAGGGATTTGATAGTAACATTTTTAATTGATACGGACTTATGATTTTCAGTTTATATGCATTGTGCAAGTATACTAACTAAAGATTGACGCCCTAGATCTCTTAGACAATTTAAATTGATAGTAATCTGTTTTAAACTTTTTTTTTTTTTTTTTTTGGTAAATATTATTTTTTTTATTTTATATATTTAGATTTAGAAAATATAAGACAATAGCGCAATCGATAATTGTTATTCAAGAGACACATGTGTCGTAACGGCATGCGGAAATTGAAAGCGTTTTCATAGCACCATTTACCACTCAATGTGCACCTTGTGGCTGAATTTTTTATACATCTTGGTCGTCTTCGATTTCTTGTCAATCTTTGAGGATTTTGCAAACATTTGTTTTATAGCGCGAGTTTATGAAACTTCTCTTTAGTAAATGCTTGTTTCCAGAGATTGAGATAAAATGGTAGGGCTATGTACATTGACCTCTAAATATCCATCGTCTGTCATTCGGTGACATATGACGTCATAAGCTTAATGGTGAAAATAGATAAAAAGTAAGCACCTGAGTCGGGGGAGGTTCATCAATCAACGTCATTTTAATATCATTAAAAATCAATCCAAAATACCAACAAGCCACCACGGCTGTTCAAAAAATAATCAATCATATCGTAAAGATTTACGCCATATTCATTATCCCTCATCAGTTTATTGCAGTCAGCAAAGTCATTGTCAATAGAATCACTGGACAAGAAAATATATGGTAAAAGAGAAGGGAGACATTGACCATTGCTCAATATATCATCTTCCTTAACTACTTTGATAGTCATATGCTAATGAAGGCCGTGTCTGTTTTTTAATTTGTTTTGTGTTAAGTCATATTTCTAAAGCCTACCAGCCAGCAAGGACGAAAGCTAATACAAAAACAAAAACACAACACATTAGAATTGTTTTCGCATTTTGTCATGATGGGGCCTTTATTGCTGACTATACGGTATGGGTTTTGCTCATTGTTGAAGGCCGTATGGTGACCTATAGTTGGCTACATCTACTTCAATTGAACTCTGGTGAAAAGTTGTCTAATTTGCAATATTACATCTCCTTTTTTTATATGCATAGTTTGACGTCAACTTTCAACATAAAGACTATTCTTGTGTAAATATTGTAATAAAAATACAATAATTCAGTTTACAAGGTTTGTTCAGATTCCTTCTAATGAATGTTGTCGTTTTTGGATGGTTTGTTAATTTATGCAGTCTCTGTTTTTGGGGTGGGGTGGAATCGGTCGTCTTAGATTTAAGTTAGACATATAACATAGCCGGATGTCATACTAACCCAATAACGACAGAATAGCTCTCTCCTCATTGTGTATATCAAATTAGAAAAAAAAACAAATTGCTGTGTTATACACTTTTCTATTAATCGTTGAATATTCTCTAAACTTTGACATTTACTGATGAGTCTATCATGCTATACTTATTTGTTTTTGAACGTGTAATTTAATATACAAAACAAATAATATAACAAAGAAATAAAACATTTATTCCTAATTTTCTCGTAACAATGTCTGTATAGTTAAAGTTTTCGCACAGTATGCGGCTGAGTATGGAAATAATATCATGTTACATGCCAAAAATCCACTAGTTCCATTTATAATCGCCAAATATTTCACAAATTAGCATTTATTTTCCAAAATATAGGTTCAAAACAGTAGTTAGTTAACACTGGAATTAAATTGCAATCGTTTGAAGTGTTATAAGTCAGAGTTTATTATAACACGCAAAAAATGCTACTTAAGGAATGAATAAACACACGGGATATTGCTATTCAAATTCGGATTTAAAAATTGGTTGTTAACATGAATTTGATGTCTAATTTTCACTAAAAACAGATTTATTTCAGTAATACTATTGGCGAATGCCTGCAAATGAGATTTCAATGTTTTTGTCATAAAATTAGACTTATGCCACACATTTTAACACAAGAAATTTGAACAGAAGCTTTGTAAATCATATTACGAATTCAAACGAGATTCAAACGAGTTTAAAATGTGATTATATTGCTTATTTTTTAGAATTCTATCCAAACTAATTGTAAATATACTAATACAGTTCTATGTAGGTTTATTTCTGGTTAACTTCATAAATATATATACATGGAGTTACTTCAAAGAGTTGTCAAACAGAACGAAAAGTTTAATAAACATATACACGTTTAAATATATACCGAGTAAAAGTGTTTAGCAACAGCAATAATTTTATTTTCTATTTCAAATCATTATCATAACACATTAAATAAGCCACAAGATACAATGTTTACTAAAATATAATTAATGTTAAAACTTTAATCTCGCAACTTTGAAAATTTTTTTATTCAGTGATTTTTTAATTAAGGTATATGTTGCCTAACTTTTTTTTACTTAAGAGTATCTGGATTTTTATTGATAGATTGAGTCATTAGTTATAATCAATACCATTGGACTGATTGAAAACATTAATTATTCTTATCGCTTATAAAATGAAAAGATATAGCGAGTATGAATACCTTAACGAGATGGATTACAAAAAGAAAGAACAAGATACACATGAAGCTCACTGCAATATTTAATGACTTGCGTAAAATCAAGGCATACGGACAGCACCAGTAGTTTATATGTTACTACTACACGTAGCTTGAATTAGTAATACACGTGAATTTTTAAATGAGTCATGGCGTCTTTCTATTGAGACTAAAGCACGAAATAAATGCAATCTTTATCACACTAATTCCTCTTGTTTTATTTAATGTCTATTATGTTTACATATGGTATGTCTGTCGTCAAGAATACTGCAGTAGAAATTTTGTTTGATAAACTCTTTTTGTGTGCATGTGCTCAACTTATCTATATAAGATCGTGAACTATGCATTATTCTGAAAAGTATAATGGTTTTCATACGGACAGCACAAGTAGTACACATGCATTCGTTATACACGTGAATTTTTAATTGAGTTCACATAAATTCGTTATACACGTGAATTTTTGATGAAGTTCACATGAATTCCTCATACACGTGAATCTTTAATGGAGCCTTGGCGGCTTTCTTTTGTGACCAAATAAAAAGAAAATTAACGCAATTTTATTGCATTAATTCCTCTTGTTTTATTTATTGCCTATTATGTTTTACATATGGTATGTTTTTTTTATAAATCCTTCATATGGTTTGATTAACTATATGTATGTGTCATCAAGCATACCACAGTAGAAATTTAGTTTGAAAAAACTCTTTTTGTGTGCATGTATTACTACTAAAGTGCATACCAGATGTTAGATAGTGAACTACATGTATTTATCATTCTCAAAAGAGTAATGTTTTCTTAATAGTTTTGTCTAACTATTACATTTTTTTTGTAAGATCCTGGAATACAAAATGTCGGACTATGACAGTTGTCCCTAATTTGTATCATTTAACATACCGACAACAATTTTTGCTCATTACTTCTTCAATCTGTTTATTACTTATGTACAGGAGGTAAAATGGTTAAGCTTTTTGTAAGGGCGTTATTGGCGTTATATTTTGACGTTTTAGTTAGTGCTTCATTTAAAAAGATTTTATTAGAAAAAATTCCTAGACGCACTTGATAAAAAAAAAAGCAAATGAGGTCGCTTTTATTGTTGTTCTTCATCTGAAGCCCAAACTTCACTGCAAATTCAAACACTCATCTATTCAATGCATTGAAGCATGCCGATGCTTGGTAATGTCAACAAATTATAGGTTATTAAGGGATATACTTTAACATTACATAAACTAATATTCTAAATTATTTTTTGTCGCAATTTGAATTCTTATTTTGTCAGTATATATATACAGAAATGTGCAAATTTGTGATCGAGTTTCTACTAACTTTGAAAATTGTCCATTTAATTCAAATTTAATCCCTGTGTACATAACATATAAGAATAAACGAAGACCTGAATAAGCTATTCGGTTCCCTCACCTAAATGTAAAAATAACAACCTCCACAACATGAAAACATGAAATTGTACAAGTATGATAATCAATTTTGTTTAACAACGCCTTTGTCATGTCCGTCTAGAGGAATAAGAAGTAAAAATCAAATCTAAGTAGTCGTGATTATGTTTGACAACAACAAATATAATTTATGTCCGCGTTGGAATTGTTATTTCTATCATGTTGGGTGGACCGAACATGAAACAGAGGTTGAGGAACTTATAAAGTTGCTGAATTATTATCGAAAATAGCATCTTCACATAAAACGCTTACTGATCGAAAATTTGCTACTAGAGTAAGACAGACATAGTTACGATATTATTTTCTATTTACGAATTAGTAATAACATTTGAACAAAATGCTTATGGAGTATACATTATATAATATTGTCTTTGATCGTGCAGTATTTTAGATTAGATCATTTGTATTCTCTGTTATGAAGATATGTACAATGTCTCTTCTCCTTTGCAGATGTAATACTACTATTGTATCTCTAACATACATTTTCCAAATATATGTAATACTCTTTTGCTTTGGAGGCGTTAGTTTATCGGACATTTAAAAGTTTGAGTATTGTCAGCTTTCTATTATTTTATTGTTCGTCTGGCTTATTCATTGATGGTATTTTTCAGGAATCTGACACTTTGATGATGACAAGAAATTGACGATAATGATATAACACCACGCTATACGGTAAAGAAAATTCCATTATCGAATTTTTATATACTTAGAAAATCTTATACCATCGACCTTTGTGATCTCAGTTAGGAACTAACATTGCGTCAAACTGGGAAATTAATTTTCAATAAGCTGCAATTATACTAGTCACAACAACCAATAAAATCGGTGAATAAAATAATGGAATAACTTCAACACTGTTAAGACTATTACGACACCTGCCAAAGATGGTGCCACTGGACGATTTATGGCAATCAGCATCAACGAAAACAAGCATCAGAGGTAAGAAATTAGATTATTTTACTTTTCTTTAAAATAACTAAACTATTTTTTATTCACTCGTTCATTTATTTATTCGTTTATCAATTTTAATTTGTTTTTGGACGTTAACGAACATTGTCGTTATACATACATTTTCCTGTTTGATGTGACCTTCCAATTGCTTTGACTCGAGACCCACTTATCAGTCTTATGTAGACAGAAGAGAACTGCTTCTGGTGCACCAAATTAGAAACCTAATATCTTAGGTTTGATTTTGAAGTGAACACGACAAATAGGAGTTCCTTCGTATTATAAGTTCCAAATAGAAAAAAAATACACCAGAATATTTTTTTCCATTGGAACAAATATTACAGGCAAGAATATTTTTCCAACATGACAAGATATAACAGCATTGTTTAAAACAAAGTTTTCCTGGGAGCTTCTGTTCCGGGGAAAAAAATATACGCTGACAAACTAGGTATGTTTAACAACAAAGTTTAATGTTCATCATACGACCTCCAAACGGGATTAAATAATTGATTGGTTGACGTTTTAACGTCCTCATACAAAGGACACAATCTTACACCACATGTGTAAGTGGTCCCGAAACACAAGACCTTAAAAATAAAACGGAGGGTGACTGAATGACATTTACAACCAACTGGTTTCCAACATGACCATTTGTAATTCAGTATTGGTTGATCGGTTGATTGTTGTTTACTTAATGTCCAGAGACAATTATTTCATACATATTCAGGACTATATTTAGTCAGTTATACATACAATTAGGGTTCAGCAAGGTAGATAGACTTGGATCAAGAGCGGGAATAAAGGGTATGATGTATTAAGGGGTAGAAATTTTACCTTACAACAGGGTTCCAACTGTCACATTAAAGAGTTGCTGCAGTGTGTTATAACCTTGAGAAAGCATGGCACTCTACCTAAAAAGATAATCATATTTTACGTCCCCATTCTGTTTGAACGTGGCTGCGTATTTATACATCCCACCCCTAACAAAGGTATTACTGCTAAATGAGAGAAGTTCAAATGACCATCTTTCTTTACTCTAGTTAAACAATGGGATTATCAGAGCTAGTTAAGTACCTTTTGTTTTTAATTATTCACAAATTAAGGCGGTAACAATATACTTGCCATTTAAGATTAATGCGGTATAAATATAATTGCCATATTAGAAAAAAATCGACACATTCATCTTCATACACTGTAAGTTTGTGATATTCTAAAATTAGCACATCAATATCAATGAAAAGTATTTCAAAAGTAAATGAACGTTATTATCTATCTTGATGTTAATATGGTATATGAATTGTGAAGGGAATTTAATCTGGAATTTCTGACACCATGAGTTACTTTTTCCACTTTGTTTTACGCGCTTAAGTATCGTTTTCAAATCCTGACTGGAGCACTGTTGAAAAAGGTTTTATTGATTTCAACATGTCATGACTACTTAAACTAACAAAATTTGAAATTGATCAGTTAGAAATGACACGGAAATTGACACAATTAAGTTCAATCTGAAATTGCATATAACTTATATTTTTTCATATGAGAAGAATTATATATATATATATTTATTCTAAAAGTTACCCAGTTATGTTTAAATATGTCCATACAGATTATTCAAAGACTGTTTCCTGTCCAAACAACATATAGTTGTTTATGGGTATCGTAAGTGCTCACATTTACCCTATCAAAATTAAAAAACTATCACATACGAAATGCCTCGTAATTAAACGTTTAAATGTTTTCTGGATTTGTGTTTTTTTTTTTGGTGGGGGAGGTAGGGGGTAGGGCCCTCTTCTGGAGATATATATATATGTCATACAAAGAATATGCATGAAATATATTTGCCACAAGGCGTTAGGCAAACACCAATCAATCAACCACATATCACCAGCTCATGAAAAACATGTATAATGTGGTGATGTTACACTATTGTTTCAGATTAGGGTGAAGGTTGGTGCCTGTTAAAACGTTTAACCCCTCCACATTCTATATGTGCCTATCCCAAGTCAGGAGCCTGTAATTGAATGGTTATTGTTTGTTACTCTTTATCATATTTGTTTTTTGTTTATTGTTTTGTATAGTGTGTTCTTGTTTTGTGCTGTAGCACCACTGTCTTAGGTTAGGGGGAGGGTTTGGCGCCATCCAACTAGTTTAAACCTGCTGCATTTGTTTGCAACTGTCCTAAGTCAATAACCTGTTGTTCAGTGGTTGTCGTTTATTGATGTGGTTCATAAGTGTTTGTTTTTGGTTTTTATATAGATTAGACCGTTGGTTTTCCTGTTTGAATGGTTTTACACTAGTCATTTTTGGAGCCCTTTATAGCTTGCTGTTCGGTGTGATCCAAGGCTCCGTGTTGAAGGCCGTACTTTGACCTATAATGGTTTACTTTTACAAATCTTGACTTGGATGGAGAGTTGTCTCATTGGCACACTTACCACATCTTCTTATATCTATAAATTCTAATCGGTACCATCGACATTTTTAGAATAGCATTAGAACCGACAAGACTCTTTTGGTCAAGACCGATTTCAAAAAAGATCTGAAACAAAGTCCGCCATGTTTTACGATTCGATCCATTATTAGATATTCATATGGTGGCATGTTCTGTATTATTCCGATACTTACCTTGTAGTTCAGTTTATTGTCAGCATATTCTGTAGCTGCTGTTTCCAATTTCAAACAATAAAAGCGAGGCGGAAGATGTCAAAAGGATATTCAAACTCATAGGTCGAAGACACACTGACAACGTCAATGCAAAAAACGAAAAAAGACGTAACAACAGTGTACAAGACTGAGCAGCAGAACCCCACTAAAATCCGGAGGTGATCTCAGGTACTCCGGAAGGGTGAGCAGAATGTGACAAATAAATATTGAAATGCCTGAACAGTTATTGAATATATCTATAGTTTAACTGCCAGCGAAATGTCTAAACAGTTTTGATTTTACTGCAAGGAATTAACTGATAAACAAATAGTGAATGAAGTTAACAGACAACCCAGATCTTCGAATTCAACCACGGCCGACCGGGTGGGTGTTGTTTCTGATATAAAATTTGACCATACAAAACCGATCATTTACGTGCATCCATGTATGTACTTCTGTGCATTTAGTAAGGAAAATTACAGGGTATATTATGACAGTGTGTTTACACTCAGGTTTAATGCAAATTACAGTTATGTATAAGTCTTTGATCTTCAATATCAGCTATATAATATCGATAATAGAAATTTTATTATTAATTATTCTATATTCAATTTCTACGAATAAGTGTGATTACCTCGTCTGTGTTTATATAAATAGTCTATAAGTTCTGTATTGGTTTTCTTTATAACAATTATATCATAAAATTACTTAGCAGTATATAACACGACTAAAAGAAGTATAATGATCTAGTAATAGAATGTAGGGAGACTTAGGTACTTAAACTGTAGTTTAGTAGACCTTTGCACTAATTAATCATCTACGATGTAATTGTATTTACTGCATTTTGTCTTTTAAATCGCTTAGCGGAGAAGTTACCTCGTATATAAATGGTACTTCGATTATACGGCCAAGAGGTGTAAGGTTTTTTAAAGTCAATACATGTATATGTTATAAAAATCTAAATTTTGTGAAAAAAGTATACGTTTTTGGGTGTAATTAGAAAAAATACAAAATAACCAAGTCTAGCCAAAATGTGTAATTCTGATATTGATTTGTCTGGTATCTTTAAAAATGTAAAGTCGCATTATTACTTTTTAGATTGCTCTTTTAGACAAACTTAACGACAATATATAGAACTTTAAGATCACTTATTAGATATGGAAATCTATTTTTAAGGGATATGATGTGATTTTAAGCTTTTAATCACACCAAATAGATGTAAGGGTTGCATACCGAGCCTTTCATTTAAATTTCAATATAATATGATAATTATATTCAGCAAAGTACAATTTGTAGATGTATTGAAAACATATTTAATAACTGCGTATTTAAGTTGGAAACAACTATTGCTCTTTTTCACTAATTAAGTCTTCAAGTTAATCAATAGTTCGAGCATTCAGACTTGAGGAAGTTGGATAACAACATATTAAATGTTTTGAAAATATAAATTAATTCAAGAAAAATGGGCAATTTCACTGATGTTTCAACACTTGAAATATTCCATTTAATATGTGTTCGTGTAAAATCGTCAAACTCCTCTTAAGAAAGTACAAAGACATTATTTACTGCGATGAATTACCAAAATCATTTAGCAAATGTACGCGCTAGTATAGGTCTGTTGTAAACGTTGAGGGTAATTACCGCTTATGCATATTAAAGATAATTCAATTTTATATTTATATTTGAATTATTTCGCGGTGTCAACGATTCGATAAGGATCAAAACAAATATGTAAGTTTGATTGTGGACTTTAAAGTTATCCATTACAGGTTAACAAACGGCCAACAACCGGATGGAATATATTATTATATTTCTATATCAAAACTTGTATATTTAAAAATGGTTGTAGCGAAACAATTTGTTTACCTTAAAGGGCATTTTATTTAGTCATTTATGATAAAAATAGGTGGATAAAAATAAGGAAATCCTGCCATGTTTCTTTCCGAAATCGTGATATACTAGTAAATAAAGAATAATGCATTTCTTCAATAATGAATCAATATTATGGATTTTTACTACTTAAGTAATACAAAACGCGGTTCCATTTGTTAAAGCTGAATTAAACGGAAAAGAGGAACTCTGATTTCCGCAAATAATTTCTTCTCACTAGCGAATGCTTAACGGATTACAGACTATTTTAAAATGTGGAAGTTAAGTTGACACATTCATCCGTCACGATGTTATATATATAGAAGTCTTACAAATAATATAATTTTTAAATTCTCTGAAATCAGTAAATGTCTATGAACTATTGAGCAAAATATTTAATTTTCACAAATACGTGACATAAAATCGAAAAAACTAGAAGCAAATAAAATGTATAAGACTAAAAATTTGAAATTATAGAAAAATAACGAAATGTGGATGCAGCTCATATATTTCAAACCCTGCTCCTCCACTAAAAGTTACGGAAACCACTTAATTTCGTATTGCTAATAAGACAATACAATAGGAGATGCGCAATGACATTTTGTAAGAAATAATATATGAATGTTTCAATGAAACTTAGTCAGTGCTTTGAGAGAAACTCCGCTTTTAAGACATGACAGAGTTCATGTTTCTATGAGAAACTCAGAATTCCTTTGGATAATAAATAAAACATCAGCTCAACAATGCCATTTGTTACTATTTCAATACGGTGGATTGAGCAGTTCAAATGGCTATATTTCAGCAGAGTAAAATAAGCAAGAAAAACTGTTTTAATGTAAAATACTTGTCTGTTTTTGTACATTTATGATAAGTATGGACATGGACTATCTTTAATCGTTTAAACAAAAGATTAACAGATCGACTAAATGAGGCTGTACAAAAACCGATCACAAGAATTTCAAAAGATATTTACCAGAGATATTCGGAACAACGTACCAGTCACTCAATAGAAATAACACTTTATAAATTAAATGCTTCCGACACGCTTTCTGGATTTACCTTCAACAAGAACCATCAAACTAAAAGATTTGAAAGCGAAGGATGCATAAATACATGAGTATGTAAGGAGTCATATGACAAAAAAATATCTAAAAATAAAGCAAATTCATCTAAGGTCACTAGTATTGAAATATTTAACACAAAATATTAACAAGTCTAAATTGAAAACAACGTTCAAACCTATGATTGCGTTGGATAAAAACCGCAATTTTTATACGTGTGCATGCAAAACAAATTTCTTAGTAGAGGGGTCTAAATACAGCACAAACAATATTTTCCAAAAGATCAAAAAAAGTGAAAAAGTATATTTTAACTATACAAAATATTAATATACATGCAGTTTACATTATACTAATTGAATGATTGTTTTATATTTTTAGATAAATGAAGTGTTTTAAAGTGGCATGGGAGAAACAAATATAAGTTTTCCACAAATTAAAGAAACTTTATTCAACACAACTACTGAAATACACAATGTAACGTGCAAAAATAACATGTGTGTTTTTGAGAACCGGAATTATGTGTCGAATGGTAACAGCCACGGATTGAATATAGGAACAGAGGCCGCCGTTAAAACTGTACTTCCGTCTGAAAATATCGGCACAGGATGTGTTTTATTTTTTATCATTACCATGACAATTGTTGGTAATGTAGTTGTTTTAGTAGCTGTGACAACGAACAAAAAACTACGAACAGTCTCTAATATGTTTATCCTTTCATTAAGTTTGGCCGATTTATTTGTCGGCACCATCGTCATGATCCCGGCGGCAATAAACGAAATTTTTGGTGAATGGATTTTACATCATTCATTTTGTTCCATTTGGGTCTCGTTTGATGTGATGTTGACTAGCGCTTCGGTTTTAAATGTGTGTTTAATTAGTATCGACCGATATATTTCCATTATGACTCCACTCCGGTATAAAACTATTATTACACATCGTCGAGCGCTATACATGCTTCTAGCTGCTTGGGGAATTGCAATTTTCTCTTCGTTTGTTCCAATAATAAGTGGACTTCATAATCCGTCTTTACCTACACTGAAGAATTTGACATTAATCAGTAATAAACCACAATGTCTGTTCATAGTGAGTGTACCGTATGCGTTTACTGCGTCAACGGTTACAATTCTAATTCCAATAATAATAGCTCTTGTGTTGTATTACCGAGTGTCAAAAGAAGCTAAAAGACAAGCATTATTTGTAGGAACTTTAATGGTTACAAGCAACGTATTATTAGGAAAGAACATGACTTCCAAACATGTACGAGAACCTTTTACTCATAAGGCAACTGTAACATTAGGAATTATAGTTGTAGCATACGTTGTAACGTGGGCGCCATTTTTTATTACAAACATTACCGAATCAGTATGTGAATGTGTTCCGGTTAAAGTTTTTGTAGCATTTGTATGGCTAGGTTATTGTAACAGTTTAATTAATCCTATAATATATCCTTTATTCATGCGAGACTTCAGGAAGGTGTACGTTAAAGCAATTCACCGGTGTTGTCCATACTTTAAATCTTTAAAACACTTTCAAGAAAGTCCAAGAATGTGTAAACAGTTTCCATTACAAACATAGTTTGCTAATTTATAATTTGTTACAACGTTTAATATTTATTGAATATGTTATTTTTACAACTGTTTTATCTGTGATAGCCGATTAAAATATGACAAAATATATTTTCTTGAGTGCTGAGATTGAGAACTAGTAGTAAGGTTATAAATGTAATTATTTTTCATCTGTAATTCAAGTTCAGTTATGTAAACAAGTTTACAACCGCAAATTTGACCTTCCAGACCAGTCTTTAAGTTCTAACTTATGCCATTTACGCCATGAATTAGAAAAAATTGGTTTGATTTAAAACTGTGTGAAAAGCAATAAGACAGAAGACCCCAAAAAGATAATCAAACATCATAAATAGATAAAATGATAATATCAAGGGAAAAAACGAAAAACGACTTAACTACAAACAACAGTCAACAAAACACTACATAAAAAACTAAAAATACCAGGGGCAAAAAACTAAAAATACCAGGGGCAAAAAACTAAAATACCAGGGGCAAAAAACTTGAAAAACCAGGGGCAAAAAACTTGAAATACCAGGGGCAAATAACTAAAAATACCAGGGGCAAAAAACTAAAAATACCAGGGGCAAAAAACAAAACAACGACTAAAGTACAAACAATAGCCAACAAAACACTACATAAAAACTAGACTGAGCAACACGAACCCAATCCAAAATAGCGTTGTGATCTGAGGTTTTCCAGAATGGGAAGCAGATCCTGCTTCACATTTGGCACCGTCATGTTGCTCATTGTAAGGACTAATTCGTTGACAAGTCTTAATCACGTGATGTCATATTTGAGGAATAGAGGACTGGTTTATGGTTGCGACGATTGGAACATATCCATGGTCAGATGTGAAACATGTTCCATAAAATAAACCCTCTTCATAAATACTGAAGGAACAGACATATAACATTTCTATAATGCTGTGATAATTCCATTCTAATGGATCGTCCGTTCAGCGACTTGCCTTCAGTATTAGATTGAGATTTTTTACTGCAAATTTTAAGTTTACATATATTTTATAAAAGTACTTAATCTAAGAGGCAAAGTTTGTGGTTTCTATTGTCCGGTTAAGATATGAATAAAATTAGATGTGGCATATATGTCAATGAGGAAACAATGATAAATACAAAAACCTTCAGAATTATTTAGTTCAAAATAAGAACAACACTTTGTTAATTTGGTGTGGTCAAAGTGTTTAATTATCTCTAAATTATTCCTACCTTTAAATTTACAAATGGTTTCGGTAAATCCACGTGATTCAAAATACAGATGTCCGTAGGTATAACAAAGACATACAGTCTTGCAACAAAAGACAGACCTTCGGCTCTTTTCAATACGCTATGCAAAACTTTAAATATCCCATAGTCTATTAAAACAGTTACGAAAAAAAACTAACAGAGACAATCAAACATCTGCCATTAACACTAAGTTCTAATGCAAGACCAAAAATATATTCATTTTTTTTAAATCGGTTTTATATTTAACCAGCATAGTTACTCAAGAAATGCACATCGTGCGCGCTGTAATCAAATTTCAAATTTACTATCAATTAATTACCTCAAATAAATCTCAAGGCGGTTTTATTTATGTTTGAATTTAGATTACTAGGACTTTTAGATGACTTAAGTTTTCAACATGCACAACCATTTCGACAATCAATTTGACTAAAAATATAGATGGCCGTAGGTATAGTAAGAGTAACGGAAGTCAAAGACATATAATCAATTACTTTTGTTGCTTTGAATAAATATGTCTGAAAATGATTGAAAGAACTGTATGCATTGTCAAGCATTCATCAATTAAAATACATCGTAAGTTTCCCACACGATAATTCCAGTTCTGACATAACTTCTCCGAGATTGAGCAATTCATTCGTCAAAAGATTTAATTCTGTAAGAAATTGTTTCTCTCTAATAGGCAATGCTGAGTAGATTGTCATAACATATTAGAGTAAAATGTATTCTGCCAACATTTGACGGTTTACAATTTTGATACCCTTCAAACCATTATGTTTCACAATGAAAGCATGATGAATTTTCTTTTTGAGGTGATTGAATGCCAGACGCTTTTGATTAAAATAAAGTATTTCAATTAATTAGGGTTACGTAACATTGAAATGAGTGAATATCAATTTCTATATATAAGCTAAATTTGTTCGCTTAAAATCTATCTTCGCATTGTAAAATACCATACTCCATGTTGGAGCTTTTCTCACACACAAAAATTGCAATAGAAATTAGTTATAAATTGTCTCGTGAAAGAACAATAGAAAAATTAATGTGCGATAAAAATAAGTAATCTGACATCTCTTCAGGGCGATAATTGTTCAATGGGTTTATATTTAAAAAAAATAGTAAAATGTATTGTATATAAATAAAAAGATGTATATATTAACAAGTTCTGAAATAATAATTGCTTAATAACTGCCAAACTTGGTGGGTAACACATTACACAATGTATCATATGTGAAAAACAACTAGTTATATTGCGACGGTGCACAGAAATCAAACATCCATAACTGACAAATTCGATAGCTATTGAACTTTTGACTTAAGTGACTTCCAAAATGAATGGACATGTGAGTTCGAGGGGAAGTAGTTAGAGTAAATCATCTGGTCCAACGGATTCGTACATATTGTAGAATTTTGGGTTAGGTGATAAAAGGACGAACCTTTGCACTATTGTAGACATATATTAGCCTGTATTGCCTTGTGCCAAGTCAGGAATATGACAGTTGTTTTCTATTCATTTGATGTGTTTGAGCTTTTGATTTTGCCATTTGATAAGAGATTTTCCGTTTTGAATTTTCCTTGAAGTTCTGTATTTTTGTTATTTTACTGTTTGGTAGTCAATTTAAGCTATCGACCTACTCGAAGAAAAACGTTTTATTATACTTTTCACTTTTTTAAAAAATGGTGGAAAATATCAAAATGGCCACCAAAAGTGAAAATAAACAAAACGGAGACTAAATGTAGGCTTTGCTGATATTTATTTCCTCTATCGAGTTCCATTTTGCCGTTGATACGATATTGGACTTGTATTTCCAATTCAAGACAATTTAATGAAGGGTCACAAAAATTATCCATCTATTCAAATGTTTTTGGACGCCATCAGGAATTGATTGACCGTTAAGTACCATTTGAGTAAAAATTACCACAGATATGCTCCCCTTCTCCTTGCCACAATCCTTTTTTTCCTCGATTGTTACATCAAGATGATCAACAAATACGATTAACCACCGAATTTCTACTTGCAATGGGTAAAAGCACGAATGCTGCTAGTTGACCAGGCACTACTCAACCACCGGATCACAAGTGTTGACCCTTAGTTTTGATTGACTCAAGTTGTTTATCACAGCACCGTACATGACAACATTGCCCTCGCGCATTTGACTCTACCGCGACATCCGTTTTCTATCTTTTAACCACAATTTATGAGCTCATTACAAAATGCTGATAACTTAATATCCTATAAGGTAAATGCTATCTACATTCACTCGAAGAGCCACACCGGGTCGAAACATCCCCCACCTAAAATTTCACATACTTTGAGAATGTTATTTGTTTGATTTCTGTAACCGTTCTTGATGTCGAACATCATGTGGATTATCTGATCTTTGATTATTTCATATGAGGATTGAAAATTGTTAATTACTATGGCTGAAGAAGACATCCTGCAATACTGACGGTCAATCCGATTGCCCCCATCTTCTGCTTTTACAAGGGTATAATTCTTCTCATAGGCTTGATCTACATTAACCATTTTCAAATAACGTTTCCAACACTTGAACTGTATAGTTTAATGTCCTAATATCGCGTACGAGTACCTGAAACCATAATTTTGATAGAAAAATGCAAAGAATTCATTTTTTTGCAGTTCAAATCTTAAATGTTACAGACCAGCTGTGGTTATTGATGAGCAGATTCTCAATTTCCATCTTATTACTCTATTCTTTGAATCTTGCCTAGTTTTGATAAACGTCTTGTTCCTTAAAATTTTATCAGGATCTGTGTATAAGAGTGAGAAGTACACCTCCTGTAACCTCATGGTAATGTCTTGTTCATGATGCATGAGAGACTCAAAAATAGCATTCTGAAGTACTATTTTCCCTTGACATAACACACTTGTCCAACCACTGTTTTCTAACCAAAAAACATAATGCTGACATTTCTATATGAGGACCTAAAATCAAAACTACTCTTTGTTCTGCTAGACATATCTTTGCCTAGTTTCACTCTTCTGATTTTGCAAAAACATAAAAAGATTGATCACAAGTGATCATTAATATATGCCTCGGGGAAAAATTAAGACATTGCTGGATTATATTGATACATGTAGAATGTCGAATCGTTGTCACAAATTTGATCTTTTTCTGAAACATTGGTCAATGTGGACTAAAAAACAAAGGCGGATGACATTTTGTCTTGGCTCTACATGCGTGGAATGCTGTCCGGAAATACTATAATATATGTTTTAATTATCATCCGTCTCAAACCATCTGTGTAATCATGTTTTGAACTTATTTTTACCATTTAAGTATAGACCCGGTTTGCATACATGTATTTCTGGTTTTACAGTTAATTGAGTACATGACCATTACACGGTTATTATTGATGATTTAGTATTTACGGTAAGTATGAAACATATGGTTATGAATCAATGAAGCATTTTATTAGTATTTCAAAAGGATATATGCATATCTTAATTTTCTATAGCAAGAATATATAATTGCTTTATGAACAGTTCTGCTAGCGCATAATATGTTGGCTAAAGTACTAGAGAATAAAAGGTCAAGTGCATTTATTTCAAAGCATACAGTTATGACGAACGTGCAAAGTTAGACAATATTGTCCACTGCTGCCATTGTAAAACCATTAGGAAGTTTCGCGAAACAAACCGCATATTTAATGTTGAATGTTTCAGGAGTGTGTTCTTTAAGCAGAAACTGCTCCAACAGAGTTATGAGGAGGACAGATTAAAAATGACACTCCGTAAATTTTATGGACACCATCACGAATTGGTTGATCTATACGATGTGTCTGTGTCTAAACTAACTAATGACATTTTCACCACGTCTTAGATTGTAGTTTAA